TTTCCAAATGTAATGTTTGCAATATTAAGGAGATTTCAAGTCAAGTATACTGAAGGAGTAGTGCTGAAGCCTAAAGAATTCAAAGACATTACTCTATTCAAAATGAAATTCAAACTAGATGGGAATAATTTTGTTCCTCGAGAAGAAGATGAACTTACTGATCTTACTGCAACAAGAAAGAAGAGAAAAATTATAGAGAAAGCTATTGCTAGGACTTCTGAAGCAACTAGGGCCTCTACCTCTCAACCACTGCCACATATGCCTACTCCACCAAGTAACATGTCAAATGCCTTTCTGTATAAAATTCTCAATGGCATTGAAGGCAAACTTGATCAAGCAGTGGTGCATCTAAATAATGATATAAAGGGTCTTGGTGACACGATGTTGTACTTAAATAGCAAGTTGGATAGAGTCATGGATCAACTTGGGATTTCTAAAGCTCAAGGTACAGTTTAAGGCAAGAAGATGACGCTGGTCTATTAAGATTTAAAGAAGGTTCAGTCCACATTGTTAACTCATCCTCAACCTTCAAAACCCAATCTAACCCACCTCATTCCCCTTTTCGTATGCCTTCCCCTAAAGACCCTTCCTCTTAAGAGTAAGAAAATCTCATCTCCCAATGTGACCAAGGCTTTTCCATTGACCTTCACCCAGAAACTCAACCCCAAGATTAAGCTTAACATGTAGATTCCCAGACTGAATCCTAAAGCCATCAAGACACTTCCAAACCTATTCATCCCTTTGATGGCATACCAATCCCTCACTTTTCCTCTCCACCAAAATCCACTAATACAGTCAAGGCTGCTAAAACTCTAACTTTTAAGGAGTTATATGAAGATATAGGTGATATGAGTGTTACCAAACTTGTTGGTAAACTTACTCAAAACATTAGAGAGCTTGCCACACCTTCATCCATGCCTATGCTATGCTTATGCCTTCACCAGCAATTTCCTTTACTCAATTAGTGACCAAAATATTTTAAAGGAAGAAATCCATCCCCAAACTTAAACAAACCAAACCTTCCCTTTGCCAACTTGTTAAGAAAATAATTGTTGAAGAACTTGAGAACCAACGAACTGAAGATCAGTCTCAACAGACTCAAGTCCCTTTAACTATTAAAGGTCAAATTGAAAACATTTATCCTAAGCTTCTTTAAGATTTTCTTAAGCTATTAACGGCTCAATTGCTGCATTAGATCTCATTCCACCTATTGATCCAAATGACTCTTCCACTTGAGCAATGGTTCTATCTATTCAACCCTTCAATCTAAATTCTCTATCTGATAGAGAAGTCTTAGAGGCCTATCTCAGACATCGAGTGTCTTCTCTCTTAGGAAGGCTTGCATCTTTTTGATGATGCTATAGGGGGAGAAGATATATTAGAGATAAGCTAAACTTAAGGGGGAGTTGTATTAGAACATAGGCTTAAGAAGAAGAGCCTGTACTTAAGGTTTTGTATTTTTTTATTGATAAATTATTATGTCAATTGATGTATTATATATTTTATTAATGAAATATTCTAAGTTGCTCATTCATGTCTTAAAATTGTTGATTGCAAATTTAATATTTCTGCACTATTAATCCTTATTCTCTCATATTTGATTAAGGGGGAGCTTTGTATTAAATCTAACTAAAAACCTTGATCTTAAGGTTTTGTCATCATCAAAAAAGGGGAGATTGCTAGATCATATGTTTTGATGATTACAAAACAAAGAGAAGAGGTGTTTATTATGTGTGTAGATAAATGAAGAATCATGGATGAAGACAAAACCTCAAGAGCATGAAGAATTAAGAAAAGATGAAGAACCATAGGGTAAGTAATTTAAATTCTTTTATATTCAATGTGAAAACTTTGAGAGCTTAATCACATTTCATTATCATTAAAATGAATACATCATCATTAGCTCATAAGTCTCATTTATGCACTTTAAGATTTATCTTAATGCGTTCTAGCATGCATGTAATGTCTACCTTGTTGTGGTTCACAGAAGTTGAGTTTTCTCAAACTGTAGAATCATGTGTGATTTTGTATGGTCACTCACGGGATTTAGCATGTCAGGCACACTAATTGATATTTCACGTAAAAATTAGGAAGTGATTCACGCGTGGTTTGTCACTTATGCCTTGACATTGGTTTTGTGTTTCAAATCACGCAAGCATACCTTTGGTCTACACGCAAGATTTGTCAAGTTGAGTTTCTTTGCTTTCTAGAAAGTGCCATTTCATGGGTGAGAGTATATAGTGACAATGCATGATTTTGCATTAATTCTCTTAATCACACTTTGCCAAAATTGAGTCTTATATCTTTTCAAGCCTTGTTCAAATTGTATACTTTATGTGGTCTGTGATTCACAATTACGTATCTCTTATCATGCAAAATCTTGCTTGAGTGTATAATGTTTCCACGCGTGATATGTATTCCAAAATAGCTTAAGTTTTGCAACTTGCCATTTCATGCGTGAGTGTTGTTGTGTTCCACGCGTGATTTGTCTTCCCAAATCGTTTGGGTTTGAGTCAAGCCATTTCACATGTGATGGTCTGTTGCTTTCATGTGAGATTTGTTTCTCAAAATTGGTTTTGGCATTTTGGTAGCCAAACCACGTGTGAGAGCATGTTAGTTACGCGCAAGTTCTGTCACACAAATTTGGGCTTAACTTTCTTCTAGCCAAATCAGGCGTGAGGACAAGTTGGTCACACATAAAATTTGTCACACATAATTGATTTTGGCTTTTTGTTAGCTAAACCACATGTGAGAGCCAGAGGGTTGCACACGAGTTTTTGCACACAGAATGGATTGTATATTCATATACTCAAAACCATACATGAGATTCCTTAGAGTTCATACGTGATTTATCACATATACATATCTGGAACTTGATACAAGCCATTTCACGTGTGATTTAACAGGATGCACACAAGAAATTGCACTAACAGCTAGTGATACTGTTCCAATGGTGTGTCAACTGCCAAAACTATATATGCGATACAATTCAAGTTTGAATAAAAACTTTTAATTCTTGAGCGAACTTTTCTTTATATGAGCATTCAAAAAGATTTCAAATTGTGCTTAATCATTTAGCATTTATTCATCATTCTTGAAAAGAATTGTAAAAAAGCTCTCATAAGTTTATAAACTTTCAACTAAAATTTATCGACTTTTTAGGAGAGTTTATCTCATTCTTTTGAAATCCTGAAAAGGTATTTTTCAAGTATTTGTAACAACTTGCTAGATTGTAGCAATGTTTGTTAGTTGATTCAAGACAAGTTAAGTCTTGTGAGTGATACTGTGGTGGCAGGCACCTATTAAAGCTGTGAATTTAGTTGAAATCTCAAGTATGATCTTAAAGACTAGATGTAGGCCAAGTTTGAGGTTAAACCAGTATAAATCCTGTGTGTTTCCTCTTCTTCCTTCATACTAAAGCTTTAAGTTTTTTGAAAATCTTTAAGTGTCACCCAATTCACCCCCTTTGTAGGTGCCAGCCTATCCAACACCATGGCTTCAATATTTGCTTGAGATGAAGGAATGTGGCCAGAGAAGTGTGGGAAAATGGAGGAAAATGAGAGAAAATTTAGATGAACTAATGTTAGAAATTTCAAAAAAGTGAGAGGGAATAGGTGTGAATTGTGATGTGAAAAATGAATGAATGAGTGTGTGCACGAACCTAAATCATATATTCATCTTGTGATGGTGTAAAATGGGTAGAATATAATGGGTTTTAGGTGATCAAAGCCATAAAATATTTGAAACTACTTAAGAAACTTAATTAGGAGGTTCAAGAATGAATGTGGCCACCATTCAAGTAAGGTTAACTTGGATACACATGTAGCTCTTGTAGGATGCTCTACATTTGATTGAAACTCACTAAAAGATTCTAAAAAGATTATTAAAAGGTGATCAAGAGGTGCTTGGCTAAAATCCTTCATGCTTAGAGTCATGAAAAGCTTCTTGATTTAACTTTTGCACATGTGTCATTCTAAGATCTTCTAACTTTGTACTTTGTCTTGTAATCTAATTTTTTGGCCATTTAATCTTGATCCAAATCCTTGTTTGCACTTGTAATTGTACACACAAGAATAATCAAAACATGTGTAAAAAATTTCAAATCAAAATTCAAAACCAATTGCAAAATATAATGTTGTTTCAAAAGTCCTAGGTTATAAAACATGGCAGCCTAATATTAATGTTTTTGTGTTGGAACATCCTATAATTTATGTCTTTTAATGTCTCTTTGTAACCCATAATAAATTTGAATATCAAACTTGTCCTATTGATTGTAAGAACATAAAAGACACAAAATAAGCTAATGTCCCAAAATTGCTTAAAACTTATCAAAATGACCAAAATACACTTAGACTATGAATGAACCCTAATTGATTTTAAAGGTCTAACAATGCCTAAATATGCAATAATTGAGTTCCTAAGGATGCAATAATGCAAGGAAATCATCATAAAATGTATGTAAATAATGAAATATGTTATGCCTAATCCACTAAGGGTGAATAACCTAACAATTTATAACACTCCCTATTGGATGTTATAAACAAATAATATGTATTATTAAAACCTTACTAATAAAAACCCAATAAGACAAAAAACATAATGAAAGAAAAAGAATACGCAATAAATATTGAAGCTACTTTATTAAAAATTTTACCAAAAAAATTCTGTGATACAAAACCTTAGTTTAAAAAAATGAGTACAGGATGAACTTTACTCTAGGTGATGAGCACATCATTTTTTTTTTATATCTTATTAGAAAATACTAATTTTTAAAATATGATTGTTGCAAATATTTTTTACGCAAATCTTCTTTCTGGCCAAATTTTGAGTTCTACTCCCACCTCCACTGCTCTACCGGTCTACCCCCAATTTCCTACTACTAAAGGGGACATAAGCGTCTATGAAGTTATATCCACTCATCATAATTTATAACCATTTATTTATTTAATTTTTTTATGCAATTTTTATTTGATTTTATTTATTACCACAAAGCCCCAGGCGTGAATCCCACGTTCCCGAGTCCCCCGGGTTTGCTTTCTATCAGGGTTCCTGGTTTGCTTCTTCATTCGTCAAATCAAGAGTCAAAAGAACGAAACAGTGTTTAATTTTCCTTTCTACTTGCCGGAGACTTTGAATTTCCCAAAGTCGAAGTCAGTGAGCGATGTCGTTGGTCTCTGCATGCTGTTTGTTAAAGGAGCTCTGAGTGGAGAGGAAGAACAAAGGCATGGCGATTTCTAACCGGCGATCACACTCCAACGGCAAGGGCTGGAAGTTCTTCAAACTTCCGTTTCGTCATTCTGCAGCTACCACTCCTGCGGCTAACGCTCCGTCTTCATATCCTCCGGTTGAAGGTTCAAAGTCTCGTAGTTCCAATTCGGTATCTTCGGTCGCTAGATCGCTTCTTCCAACCAGACATCGTCTCAAGCTTGATCCCTCCAAGAAGCTTTACCTCCCTTGTATGTCTTGCTTCTTCAATTCCCACCCCCCGCCCAACTCTCTCTCTCTCTCTCTCCCTCTCTCTCTCACACACACACACACGCACACACACACAAATACCTTAATTATGCAAGTTCGGTGAATTCTTGTGCTAGTTCGTATGCGATTTAATATTTGGTAATTTGATAACGATCTGACTTTTGTCCTGGCAATGATTTTCCTTAATTGGATTGTAACAGCTATTTCACGCGCTGGGGTGGTCATGTCTTAAACTGGAATTCCTCAGTATTAGAAACTTTATAGCCGAAGATAGTTAATATTTTTTTTCCCTTGAATTTATTTTGGCTCGAAATTGGCAAATAACATCTATGTTTTTAATTTTATATGCCTCGAAGAAACTTTTTATTCGCTCCTCTAGTTCTAACTATAGCACTTATTTGAGTAAGTTGTCTTCGATACTTTCTTGTTTACATGATACGTTGCGCAACATTATTTTACAGAACATGATACTTTAGTGCCAATCACAATCTCATCTCTTCAGGACTAAAAAATTGAAGGGGCAAAGTTGCTGAAGATTTGACCGAATATTCTTTCGATTGTCTAAATTATTTTAGCTACTACACTGCTGTTTTTTCACAAGTCAATTCACTGGGTTGCTCTTTCCTAACAAGGAAAATTGTGAATGATTGAAGTTATACTTTGGCACTCGATGTATTCATCTAGATATTTATATCTAGAAGATAAGTTTTTCTTTTTTGTAATACTGGGCATATTTTGTGGACAAATTGTTTCCTTTATCTTCATATCATCCATATGCTGAGGGACTTATTAGTTTATGTATTCCTAGAGAAAAAGTCCATTTTAATTTCCCGTTGATCTGCACGTCTTTAGGACAAATTGAGTCCATCTCATCCATTTTGATATGACGAATGCAACTAATGGATCATTTCTGTGTCTAATTTATAAATGCCATCAGCATTTTGATTTTATTTTTCTGCCTATCAAGCAGTTAAAGGTAGTAATAACAACTTAACTTACTTGCAGTGTAAGTTTTTTGGGTGTCAGCATCAAATAATGATATTTGTTCTTTTAAAGGACAAATGTGACAAGCTTCCATACTCTAAACCCAAATTTTAGTTTCCACATATCCGTGATTGAGCTAAACAATAAATAAGATAAACTTAGATCGTGGCGACAACAGTCTCATGCTGTTATGTTTCTTAATGTCAGCTTTATAGGAAAGATGTTTTCTTGAGAAAGACTCGTTTTAAAAGCCTCCTCATATGTTCATGGTTCAGAAATGAATATCTTCTGGGGCTAATGTTTGCCTGGGAGTTAATGTGCGCATATCCATTTTATTTTCTTGCGTTTATTTATATATTTTCCTTTGGCAATGCTCTCCATATGATTACTTGCATTTTGTCTTGTATCTTTTGCCTTCTTACTTTACTGTTCTTCCTGTGAAGATGAACCAGGGAAGCAGGCTAAGAGTGCCATCAGGATTAAAAACACTAGCAAATCCCATGTAGCTTTCAAGGTATGGTTAAACAGAAGCACCTGTTTAGCTCTTATCCTGTCTAAAATTTTCAACTTTGGATTTGTCATTTTTGCTACTCCTCACTTACTTCGAACACAACTGTTTATCCTTGCTGCTTCTCTGTCTGAATTTTCCTAAAGAGTTCATATATATTGCTGTACAACAAATTTATCTGCCTCTGATTATAATTGTTCTTCTTTTGTTATGTACATACAGTTCCAAACAACATCACCCAAAAGCTGTTTCATGCGCCCTCCTGGGGCTATCCTTGCACCTGGCGAGAGTATTATTGCAATTGGTAATAACCAACATTTCATTTCTCAATATTTTTCCTTTTTGTGTTGAACATAAGATTGCTACAGGACAAACTTTATGTCGTTAATTTTTATTTGGTTTGCCAGTGTTTAAGTTTGTAGAGGTACCAGAAAATAATGAAAAGCCTGAAAAAAGTGGACTCAAGTTTAAAATCATGAGCCTGAAAGTCAAAGGAGAAGTTGATTATGTACCAGAGCTGGTTAGTTGAATTCACTGTGTTCACACTTTTCATAAAGACAAGATGTCGATCTTTTTGTTGTTTGGCCCTATCATTGTCTATTTCCTGCCTTCTGGTCCCAGCCTCTTTTCTTTACCTTGCGGAAATGTTACTATTGTGTCTACCCTAATTATCGTATCTATTTTTTTCCTTATCTACTTCCAGATATGTTTCATTTCTTGGGTTTTAGTTGTACTTGATTGAATTGGACACATAGTTAAACTGTATTTCAACTATCTAAATTTTATGTTCATCTATCTTTCTGCACATTCCAAAAGTATCTTTTTTTTGGAAAGCATTCTTATTTGGATTTTCCAAATTTTTCTGTTTCTGTAGTTTTCATTTTATCTTTATATCCTTCTGTTTTCATGAAAACCTTACAATCATCTAGTGCTCAACGGTCTATTCTTTAATTTTAGATTGCTTTTATATAATTCTTTGTGTTTCTTCTTTCCTGCAAAAGTTCGATGAGCAGAAGGACCAAGTAGCGGTGGAGCAGATTTTGCGAGTTGTGTTCATAGATCCGGAGCGAGCTACTCCTGTAAGTCTTTAAGGATTCATCAATGCATTATATAGTGCCAAATTCAGTGATTCTCTTCTTTTTCTCCCTTTCTCTCCCTTTTTCTTTATCTCTGTGCACTGCATGACTTGTGACTCTTGTGTGTCAAAAATTCATAATCTACTATTTCAACGGACATACTTATGAAAAGTTACCTATAATTAAATAACAGATTGCCTAATTATATATGAGGTTTTATTTTGTATCATCAAGGCTTTAGAGAAATTGAAAAGGCAATTGGCTGAAGCTGATGCTGCACTTGATGCTCGTAAGAAGCCTCCAGAAGAGTCTGGTTCTGAGATTATTGGGCAAGGAGAGGTCATAGATGAATGGGTGAGAATCTTTTTTCCTTGCAATTTTTTGAGAAATTGACAGTTAAGGACTCAACTCATATTAATGATAATTATTAATTTTTAAATATAAAATTATTCTCAAGGATCACAAGAATAAATTCCATTGGTGCCTCATAAAGTTACCATTCATATTTTTCAAAGTCACAACTTATTTTTTCGGATGTTATAAAGGCATTTTCATTATCAAATTTAAGATACTTGAAATTATTTCTATAAGTATTATTTTAGTTGTGAGCAATGATTGTCCCTTGGCAAGCCCCAAGATATAATTGCTTAAACTTCTATTCCCTTAACAAAAAAGAATGTTGCATCTGTAGCAAGCATGAGTAGTAACTAAAAGAACCAATAATGGAAACTCATTTCGACAGGTCTTAAGAGAAATTTTGATTTCTTGGTTCTTAGATGCCATTAACATGAGTTATGGATTTTAAGTGTCACTTTCCCTAATATTCATACATTTTTTTATTGGACAATGTTCTTATTTGATGAACGTTTCTTTGTATAACATCTATGTTTCCAGAAAAACAGAAGGGAAAGGTACCTTGCGAAACAACAGGTTGAAGGATTAGTAGTAGACTCTGTGTAAGTGTTCTTCTGGGCTTTACAAATTTATGTTAGTACATTACTACGATTAAACATCGACAGCAGATTAAAGTCAAGTGTGAAGTTGAATTCAGAAAAGAGTTATGAAACTACAGTGCTTGATTTTGTAGAAATATTCCAGATGATGATGAGTATATTTCGAAGAATCCTAGGTAGTAAACATCCTCTACAGATGAGTAAGATGAGTGCCTGTTATTTTCTTTTTGATACACTAGTGTATTTGGAACATTCCATGATTAAGGATTCATTGGAATTTTTATCCCAAGGACAAAGGACCACATTAGCAACTTATCTTTAAATCTGGTCCAATAAATTCTGAAACTTCATTGTAAGACAAGGGACTAAATAGAAATTATATTTTGATGAGAAATGACTAAAATAACCTTCATTAATGTTAACAAAATTCTAGTCACCATCACCAGACCTTGTTACAATATGAAGTGGACTCAGTAAAACTATAACATAACTTGTTAATTCACCAATCTGTACTTATTAATTCACCAAAAGTACTTGTTAACAATACTTTTAGCATATTTAATTTTGTTAGCTTGATATATTATGAAGTGTACTTGTTAAAACTTTTACTTAACATGTCATTTTGCTAATGAGTACTTGTTAGTTCACCACCAAGACTTGTTAACAATATCTTCAACATATTCAATCTTATTAACTTATTATAATATGAAGTGGACTTGTTAAAATCTTAGTTTAACTTGTCATTTCATTATGAGTACTTGTTTATTTATCAGCAGAACTTGTTAATAATACCTTTCATATATTAAATCTTCTTGACTTGTTATGATAAAACGTAGATTTGTTAAAATCCAAACATAACTTGTTATTTGAGCAAGATTTATTGTAACAAACTTGTTAAACTCTTAATTTGTCATTTTGTATTGTAAATATAGAATGTAATAAAGTCAACAAGATTTATTGAATATGTATAATGTATTGATACCAAGTTCTGCTAGTAAATTAATAAATATGCATAGATGAAATGATAAGTTATAGTTATGACAGGTCCATCTCATATTTTATATAACATTTATTTGAAGCACATTAAGTCTTAAGATTTAAACAAGTTTATTTGATGCCTGTGTAACATTCTTTTGGGCATTTTCAAACTTATTTTGCATCTAAGCTCATAAATTAACAATATAAAGTTTATTAAAAAAAAAAGTTGAGCTAGTGTTTTAGTTATTGTTCCATTTGAAAGTTATAATTTCTTGTTCTATTTTAGTAATTGTCAAAAGAAAAATAATCATTACTTAAATTAAAATAGTTACGAGCATTTACAACATTTTAACTTCAATTAATAAAAAATCTACAAGGAAGAAGTTGTAGTTACTTCACGTGGGTGTGATTTATGTGCTCTTAGTCCCAAAGATCCTTATGTCTCAGTGATGCAAACTGTATTGATCCAGTTAAGGCCCCTTAATGCCTTTTTTGAGCAAACTTTGGCCACTTTAAGATCCTCAATCCCTTAACACTTCAACCTTCGGATCTCTAAATGTGGTGACATGGTCTTACACTCATGGATCGTTGGTTGGATTCTTTTTGATGCACAAGTTCCTCAGAGTGGCAAGTGCAGAGTATACTTGAATCTTAGTATGGCAGATACAGGATATTAAAGAATCAGGCTTTCAAAGAAGAAAAAGCTTTACATAATTGAAGCACACACAAGTTTTATTGCCTAACGAGCTCTACCTTACAAACAAACTGAAGCCTTCTTATATGGACATAGTATGTAAGATCAAGACAATCGGTTTATGATTACAAGTAGACAAACTTTTTTCTCATGCTTGGTTACTTTAGACAAAATAAAGTAAAAACAAAAGTAAAAGAAGGTTGACATGAATAAAAGAAAACTACTTTGTCAGAAAGTCAAAAGTAACTTTTGATAAAATAACTATAAGATAAACACTTAAAAGAGGATATGACTAAAAGCATGCATATTCCTTTCGCGATTATCATAAGCTTTTGTGAATACACTCCTGATCATATGAAAGGTTGAGCCAATGTGTTTATTCCTTTTGATGTCTTCTAGTTGAAGGGCTATCACATGAGTTGTTTCAGTTGTTCATCATCAAAGTCTTGATCCATATCTTAAGTGGGTCCCAGGGTTGTTGCATCCTTTAGTTTTAGGAATAGTTGATAAGTCTGGGTCTCTATCTGGTATGAGTCCTGATTGTCTGGTGGAAATTATAGAGCTGTGGATGATGATTTTTCATCATAGGATTCCATCCAAGTGGAATATTCTGTTTATATAATAAGACTTGTGAGTCATTCAGGAAATTCATATTGGACTAATGGAGATAAGTTATTTGAAAGAATAGGCTGATGAGGTATTGGACTGAGATGTACACTTAAGATTAGGATTTGAAACTAGATAATTATTTATTTCCTATAAAAATTTTTTTAATTCAATTAAAGTAAAATTTTCATATGTCATCCAGTTGGTGGCGGTCTTCCATAGCCATGCTTGATTAGCCACGTAGAGCTTTCCTTTACTATCAAGGTAATAAGGTTGATGAATCACGAAGAAGGAGTGGGCCTTTTGTTCTTGTAAAGGGATTTTTCCCTAGATGTACATATTGGACAAAAGTTCTTGGAAGCCATCTTCCTGCTAAAGACATACTTGTTGGTTTTTAAGTGTATTGAGAAACTAAAAATTTGTAAATACTCCCTAGGGGTATTTAGTTCAAACAATTTTTTAAGGAATACACTAATATCCCAAGTATTATGGAGATTTAAAAGGTTCCTCTAGGATATGAACACATCAAGGATTAATTTCTTAAGTTTTGCTGTGAAAATCATAATTAATCTCAGCATCCATCTCCTTTATGGAAAAGCAAGAAGTTTTTCATTAAACTCCCTTTTAAAAAGAATGAAGAGGTCAACCCAACAAAGGCATCTCATCCTGAAATGAACCCAGAAGATCTTGTTTTGGCTAGAGATGAATATGCAACTTTGTTTAAATAGGGTCTTATTGAGCTCGCAACATTAGATTGAGCTTGTTAAGCTTTTTATGTAAAAAAAAGATTTGAAAAACATGAAGAGAAAAAGAGGTTGGTAATTAATTATAAGTTTCTTAATGCTTTTCTTTAAGATGACAAGTTTCCTTTGTCCAAGATCAACACTCAGTTAGTACATTTAAAGTGAACCAAGATATTTTCAAAGTTCAATCTCAAAGCAAGATTTTAGTAGCTGGGGATAAATCCTATAGATAGATGGAAGATGGCTTGTTGTATTCCAAATGCCCAATACCAATGTACAGTCCTGCCTTTTGGTTTTAAGGCTGCCCTATCACTATTTCAAAAGACTATAATAAGAATTTTTGAGTCTATTATTCACAGTGCTCTCATCTACATTGATGACATCTTGTTGTTCTTAGAAACTAAACAAGAGCATAAGGACCTTTTGGCTCAATTTTACAAGATCATCTAACAATATGAGATTATGCTTTCAGCTCGTAAAGGATATATTGGTGTAGTCCAAATAGAATTTTTGGATATGCTAATCCAAGGTGGGATAATAACAACTCAGTTCACATGTTGTTGAGGAATTATTGAATTTCCCTAATGAAAACATATCAAAAACTCAAGTACAACAAGTTTTAACTATAGTCAATTATATCATAGACTTTTATCCTCAAGTATCTCATCACACCAACAAGCTGTCCAGACTTTTGAAAAAAAAAAAAATCCACCACCTTAGGGTCCCAGCCAAACAAAAGCTGTCCACTATTTAAAGCAAATTTGTCAGCATCTTCCTCGACTTAGGATCCCTAACAAATGACATCACATCTTACAAATTGATGCTAGTGATGACTTTTGGAGAGTTGTACTTCTTGAAGAAATAGATGAGAAAAGATATTATTATGGTCATGTCAACGAGGAATTCAAACCCTCTAAAAAGAATTACCATATAGGCTATAAAGAAGTCCTAACTATGAAACGTGGCATTGAAAAATTCAACTTTCATCTTAGCCCTTGCTATTACTTTGTGATAGAAATGGATAACATGTCATTCCTAAAGATTTTGAATCAAAATAAAAAGATACTCCCTGAAACTCAACTCCTTTAATAGAAAGATTGGCTTGCTCGCTATAAATTTACAGTCCATCATATTAAAGGAAACCACAACATCATAGCAGACTACCTTACCAAATCTCAAAAGAAAATTAATCTCATTACCCTTCCAAAAAAGCCACCTCTCTTTATCTTCAACATTATGCCTAGCAACTTAGTTTTTTTTGCTAGGCCAGAACCCAACCACTGTCCCAGAAGTTTAAAAGTTAGCCTGAAGAAGTTTGTTTTACTGTCTTTACATCCTCCTTCAAAAAACCCAAATTCAACCTCAATTTGAATATTTTGATATTTAAGCTCTTTACCTTGACATCCCTTTCATTAAAGGTCATATTTCAGATGAACTTATGTGGTATATTTAGTCTTTATTTTCTCTTTATATCTATGTCATCGCTCTTTCTCCACTAGAGATGTTTCATTACCTATATGACTTAGCTTATGAAGGCTCAAACCTTTAGATACTCTTTGAATGGTTTGCACCTAGTTTCAAATGGCACAAGGAATTCTCTCGAGTATTTGAAAAAGAGTTGTTATTGGAAAAAATTCCTTTACAAGAACAAAGGGCCTGCTCCTTTATGATTCATCATCCTTATCACCTTGACATTAAATGAAAGCTCTACATAGCCAATCAAGCATGCCTAGGGAAGACCGCCATCAATTAGATAACACATGAAAATTCCACTTTAATTGAATTAAAAGGATTTTTATGTAAAATGAATAATTATCCAGCTTCAGATCCTAATTGTAAGCGCACATCTCTTGGTCTAATATTTCATCAGCTTATTCTTCCAAGTAACTCGTCTCCATCCATCTAATATGAATTTTCTGAATGGCTCACAAGCCTTATTGTACAAACAAGATATTCTACTTGGATGGAATCCTATGACGAAACGTCACCATCCACAGCTCCATCATTTCCACCAGATAGTTAGGACCCGTACTAGATAGAGATTCAGACTTATCAACTATTTCTAGAAGTAAAGGACACAATAATCTCAAGACTTACTCAGGATATGAATCAAGACTTTGATGATGAACAATTGAAACAACTCATGTGTGACAACCTGCAGCTAGAAGATGCTGAATAGAAGAAAAACATTTGGCTCAACTTGTCATATGATCAAAAGTGCATCCACAAAATCTGTTGCTAATCACGGAAGGAATCTGCTTTTAGTCATATCCTC